CGCTTCGGGTTCGGATCTCTGGGACTCTCGTAGGCGAAGTGGCTGTGAAGGTTGGCGCTTTGCAGTACCCACTGGAAATGGACAGACCAAATACGCAAAACGAAAAAAGCCCACACCAGGAACTGCCAAGGCGTGTTTTGCAACTGGTCTGCGCGAAAAGCCAGGCACTCGCTAACAGGGATCCTCTCGACCTTCACTGAGGACCATAAAGTCGCTTGGATCAACGCGCCAAATATTGCCGAATTGGAGCTGCGATAAGTCACTTGTTCTATGGGGATTCTCTTGGAAATCCGCGGCAACCAAAAACCCCACTTTTTGAGGGTAGTCTTTCTTGGTCAGGGAAACCAACCGCAAAACCACACATGTTGCGTTTCTTGAGGGTGGCCCTTTTGGTGCTGCTTTCGGACACCAAAATCCAGCCGCCCACCCGGGCTCGCCCGCCCACAGACCCTCGGGCCCGCCATCTCCAGTCTCTTTGTGGAGGCATTGTGGAACTGCGAGTCCAGAAACCTGGGGCATGGCGGCGGATGTTTGTGTCAAACAAGGCCTGGAAAATTCGAAAACAAACGAATTAAGGATTGTGGGCTGTTTAGCACCCAGCTTTTGCTGTTCAAAACGGAAAAGTGAAGGAACATTCCTTCGAGTGGTTAAATCCCGATCACGTTTGGAGGGCACACGCTGTGAATAATGGGAACCCCGGATTAAGCAGACCCCCTGGCTGATTTTAATCGGGGGAGTCCCCCTGTAATAAAGTCCAGATCACTGTTGTGGGGCCCGACACCCCCTATTCAAACCGGACGGGTTTATTAACCTGGGGTCCACATTACGGGTTCTACTTGGATCCGGTGTCGGTTGAGAGCACTTCGTGCCGGCCATGGAACCGCATGGCGGCCGCGCTCTGGGTGCCTCTCGGCGGGGTCTTGTCCATGCCCACCTGAGGAAACAAGTGCGACGCGGTTCGTTTCGGTCGGATCAAGGAGGGGAGGCATTTTGAGGGATGCGTTTTGCTGTTGCAAGAGAACCAAAGAGAAAACATTACCAGTTTGGCAGATTTCAAGACGCACCCAAAAGGAGACAAGGATACGTCTCACTCTTGGTTCAGAATGCAGCCACCCTGTCTACTACACAATTCGGAAGGGAGGACCTTTTCCACATCCCCAGATAAGTGCTATTTGTTGGTCCAGGAGTCCACGCAGGCACGGAGCAAGGAGAAACACAAACAATATGGGCTCGCTGCTAAAAAAAAATAAACATGTGTGTTTGTGTGTGTGTGTGTGGGTGTGTGCGTGTGTTCGTGCATGCATATTGCCCACCAAAAAAATAACAATCACGAAAAGTGACCGGGTGAGAGACAGAGAGAACAGTATGTGGGGATGCCCTCCCCGTCCTGTACCTGTTTTCTTGTTTCTCTGATACTTGTCCAAGAAGGCAGTCTAGATTTGGGCCCAAATAGAATGGGGGTTGTGAGGTACGTTGCAACAGGAGACATCCGTGTGGAAACCATCAAGCCACTTCTATGTAGGGTCCCAGTATGTCCACTGTAAACATCACCCCCTCCAAGAACACAACCTCGCCTGAAATGTGCAAAGGTGTTCCCTAGGGTTCAGCCCCCACTACAACCGAGGTTGACACAATTTGGATGGTGAGAATCCATGTGAATAATGGTGGTGCTCTTAACCTCCATACTTTTCACGGCGGGTTCAACCGCAGGGCGGTGTTTAACATCACCCTTCCAGCCACATCTTCAGCGCCTTCTAAGCCGAGCGTCCGTCTTGCGCAGCACCAAATACAGCGCTGGGGGCGTGAAGAACAGCGTCGCCTCGGTCGCCGAAATACAGGAGTGTGGTTTGGGCGTCCGAAACCTCATCCAACACGCTGGAGTCCAAAGGTAAGTGAGCTCCAGGCTGATAGACTTTCGACCGGGCTGTTGTCGAAAGGTCCATTCCCCGGGCTGTTCAATCATCGTTCTTTTGTCAAGGCTTGCTTGCCGTTTTGGAGAGCGAGACCCCGAAGTTGCAGGGGTTCTACCTCTTTTGGGGGGCCTGAACTCCCAACATCAGTTTTTCCAAAGAGGTCAAAATAGCCCACCCCCGCCCTCCCCCCCACCCCAAGCTCGCCACCCGCAAGCCGAGCGGCCCCCAGCCACATGATCACCAGCGGCCAGCGGTTTCGGTACACCGCGCGGGCGATGGACAGCATGCAGGCGTCCATATAGCCGCCGTCCTTGGCTTCGACCCAAAAAGCGGCGACCCCAGCAGCACGTGCCGTCCTCTAGAGGGGGAAATGCCTTCCTCTATGGTTCTAAAGGAAAAACAAAGGTCATCCACACCCAGTTGGAGGTGTCCCCATGTTTTAGCAGAAAGGCCAAAAATATGTCGGGGAACAAAAACTGTCGGGCACTCTGCGGAGGCGTTGAGTCCTCACGCACACACACACACACACACACACACACACACACACACACACACACACACACACACACACACACCACACACACACACACCACACACACACAAGACTATAGTACCAAAAGGCTAGACACAGCCAGTCAACAACTACAACTTCGGAACAACAAACAGGGGTCACTGGATAGTCCCTTCAACTGTTGAAATTTACTGGTGGTGTCCATAGAAACTGTGGGAGGTTTCAAAAAGGGAAATGGAAGAAACACTGACAAACCAGAATAGGAAGAAACTTGACTTCCCAAGACACTTGTCCTTCTGCATGTGTCCGCTGCTACCAACACCATCTGGCCTTGACTGCTACTGCCCCTACTGCAGTAGTCCTGATCCTATGACGACGATAACGATGACGAGGACGACACCAAGGCGACGACGAAGACGACGACGGCCTCCTCCTACGACTACGACGACTACAACGACTACGAAGACTATGACGACCACGACGGCTACGATGACTACGAACACGACTACAACTACGACTACTGCTGCTATTCCTACTACTCCTGCTACTCCTGCTACTCCTACTACCTCTACTTCGCCTCCTCCTACTGCTACTACCACTACCAACCACTACCACTACCACTACCACTACTCCCACTCCCGCTGCCACTGCCACTGCCACTGCCACTGCCACTGCCACTATTCCTACTACTAAGTTTGAGCACTACCGCTGCCAATAGTATTCGCACTACTGCCTCTGTGATTGGCACTGCCACTAGTTTGACTCACGATTCACTTTTGCTGCTTCTGCTGCAATCACACTACCATTACCACCATGACAGTTCTCACTACAACAGCTTCTGCCACAACTCCACCACAACTCCACCCTGGCTGCCAAGTCACATGATCTGCTTTGTCAGAAAGCCGGTTGTCCAGCTCGTCGTCCGACATGGTGCAAAGAAAATGATAAGCGTAAACACCAAAACTCTAGCTGACTTTGACAGGGCCTGAGTTCTGCCACCCAACTCATCTGGGTAAATATTTGGATAGGTGGGAGAATAAGACGATAGCAACAACCAGTCCCCCCAAAGACGTCTCAGTTCTTTAGCTGGCCGAGCTGGTCGTCAAGAGTAGGTTCGAGATGGCGAATGTTGGCCCTGAGGGCTTGTTGCTGGGGTGGTGGCTGTGGGCGCTTTGTCGCCGCTGGCTGTGGTGGTGGGTGTACTTGTCGGTCTTGGTTGTCTGTGGCGCTGCTGAAAGTGATACGTGCCGTCGCTGAACGGTTTTGTTTCCGTGCTGTTGGTAAACATGCGAGCGTGGCTGCCATGGCAGTCACTACATCCATAAGCCGAAACTGCCGCCAAGACGTGTGTATGGTCACACGCAGCAAACTCTGCAGCACGCCACAGTTGGGCAGTTTCCCGAAATACGAGTCAGACACGTACAAATGGCGGACTTCCTTCTGCTCTGAGTCCTTCCCTTGGGTTGCCAAACGATTCAGTGTCCTTTGTAGACCCTCCCTGAGATGGACACCCCCCTGATTTTTGTCAGATGCTGTTTCATGTTCGAGCAACTTTATGAGAGTTGCCAACTATAACTGGACAGCCTTGCCAATGACTACTTCCCTTCAGTAGCAGCCCGGCTGTGAGTGGAGGCTTCGCATCGCCGGGTTTTGGGCCCGTTTCAAGCCGCCTTGATCGCTCGGAGGGGAAACTGGGAGTTTTTGCGCCAAACCGCAGAAGGAATTGGTAGGGTTCCCTGACTTATGTCTGACATGAACCCTCAAGGTGGCCCTGTGAGTCACCCAGAAACTCACTCCCGAACGCTTGGATTGGTTACCAAAAAGTCCCAACACATGTTGGTGTACCCCTTTCTATTTCCAAGGGGGAAGTGCCACGAAAATGATCTTGGGAAAGTGAGAAACTCCAGAAGTTCGAATCGGAAGGGGCGAGGGGCACGGCTCCCTTGATTAAACTCCTTGCAGGGCTGCCAAGATTCCTTCCGTCGATGACCATCCCTCAGCCCCAAGAGTGTTGAATTGCTTTGGGCTCCAGCCATTAAAACAGGACGAGTAAAGTTGACCAGCTTGAAAGTTATGTACTCACATTTAGAAAACAACTAGGGAAGAATCCCTTTGACCAGGTCTTCCGTTTGCAACGGTCCCAAAAACACTTGTCGGCCAAATCCCCCTTTGACCAGTCCCTGGTTCCATGCCAATCGAACCACACCTGGCTTTCTGGCCCCAAGAATATGTTGGGAGGCTCTTGCAATGTGGGACTCTCTTGCAGGCCCAACTTGATGTCCTTCCAGATCCTCTCTCATCCGCTTGCCTTCAATGCAATGACCTTCACCCGTTTCTCCTCCACGTCATCCTTCAACACGGAGAATCCGGGGGATGAAAAGCGGGACGAAGCACACACTCAAAGGGGCATTGTACTCTACAAGTGGTTAGTAAGCCTGGTTAGAACCCACTTACCATGGTTATAAGTCTCCTAAGTGGGTTATAACTAGGCTTACTAACCACTGACCTGACGTACTCGATCGCCCCTTTAAGTATCAGCCGATCTACAGATGGCAGATCCATCCATCCCGCCCCGCCTCCGTCGCCATGTCTCCTGCGGTGCAAAGCCGTGCCCCTCACCTCAGCGGATTGGCCGCAGCAGGCTCAAATTAATACCATGGATGGACGAAATCCATTTTGCACCACTTTGACACCATGGAAACCATTGGTAGTTAGAGGGGATTCATCATTCCAGGCTTTCTTAGGTGGTGCAGGAGCCATCCACAGTATGGGGTGTCATCGGCTTGAGTGGGGTGCATCACTTCTGGAGGGAAACTTGCGATTTAATCTGACACAAAGCAGCGTCAAGCACCAAGCGGCAGTTTTGACACAACACGGACAGCTCCTGCAGCGGCCCCAAAAAAGCTGGCCTGAACCTCAAAAAATGACACCAGAAGCAGCTACTTGCGGCCGTCTTTGATGTACTCTTGACTTATATGGCGCAATGCACAAAAACAACAAGGAGTGTGTAAACCACTGGACAAGGAGGCCTTGAGCACCTCTCTGCCACCGGAGCCAGCCAGGGGTTTAATCCGGGGTCGACAAATCAGTTTGTGTCCCTCAAACGGCCTTCCCATAATCAAGTTCAGAAACTTGGGAAGGAAGAACAACAAAACGCAACAGTGCTGCCAAGGATTGGATCTGCTTTATTGTCCTCTGCTTGTTGTTTCAGTCATGGAAACAACACAAGAGGGCTGTTCAGACTGATGCCATCTGGTTGTTGCTCCAAATGTCTCCTAACACAGGTTGTGTCCCTTTGGTTCTCTGCAACACCAAGCAAAGCGGGGTCCACTTTTTTGAGAAACACCCCCCCTCCGGGCAAAATACTACAATTCACCAAAAGGACATAAGGAATCCCCCGAGTACCTTCATCATGCGACTCAGTGCTCCGACTCAGTGCAGACTGCCACGTGGTTCTTTTGTTTGGGGCCAAGATTTCCGGGGAACAAATGTAGGCAAAGCGCACTGCTTCTGCACGCTTGACCCGGCTTGGGATTAGCTCAAATGGACCCAAATGGTTCCGGGTTGCTCTCATTCGACTTTCGAAAGCAGCAACCTGAGTAGGGAAGCCAAAGGATCATCCTCTTGGAATGGTCGGTCGCTTTGTTGATACCCCTTTTTTTCGGGTTCGGGGAAGATCCAAAAGATCCACAGGGACAACATCTCTCGTTTTGTTTGGGGGGGGTGTACCCGGTGGCTACCCGGTTGCCCCATGTTGAGAACCGATGAGTGATATGCTGAAACCGGCTCGACTCCCTGGAGCCCTGGCCCTTGCAACTGCGCGTGCTGTCCGTCTGCTTCGCTTGGGAATCTGCCTGACCTTCGGTGTGTCAGCAAGAAACCTTGTTTGATCCCAAGAAACGCGGAGAAAGCCAAGAACCCCAAAACCACGCCACCAGGCAGCGCAAGCATGTGCACTGATTCGCTGGGAGATGCTATGAAAAGCATTTATGGTCATTTCCCCCACAAGGCGGGTGCGAAAATCAAAGGCGCGGGCTCTAAGGTTGGCACTGGATTGAGCAAACTGACATAATTTAGTTCGTGATGTGTTTTGTTCGTCTGAAAATGAGCGATCCCCTCGAAAAGCACTAGTGGCTGAGAGTTTGCTGCGGAAGCTGTATGAATTCTCCAACAAAAAACCTCCAGTAAGGGACTGGCATCATGGACCCCAAACTGATCGCAAACCAACCCTTTTACGAGGTCGCTAACTCTGGCCCAAACACATGTGTATATATATATATATACATATTATATATAAATATGTATATTATGTATGAGTAAATGTGCATATGTGTATGTAAAGCACATGTGTGACGCTCACCATGTTGCTGGCAGCTCCCATCAACCACCTAGCGTCCAAACACCTGTTCGAGCCTAAATGTGCGGCGCGCGACACCGGGCGGAAGATGGCCCCTAGTGATCCCCATCCCCGGAGTGCACGAGCATCCCTCGTTGTAGCTTGGATTGGGGGCTTCTGGCGGGTAAATGGGAAACCACCCAGTAGAAAACCTCCAAACAACCAAGCCAAACCACCAACAACAGGGAAGCTGATCAAAGGGGATTTTCCAAGGGCAGCATAGAGAGTAGACTTAAACGACTTTGTTTTTTCCGCAGCCATGTCTGCGGGCTTTAGTCAAAAAAATGCTACAACCATGGTATGCACCAACGATGTTGTGCAACGGGCCGCGTGCGCATTCAGCATCTTCTTGCAGTGCAAAATGCTACAAACTCGCATGGAACCCAAAAAATTGGGGGTCGCCAAACAGGGTGTCCTCTACAAATCATGTTTTTTGGGGTCCATGTTAAGCTGCGGGGGGAGTCACCGTTTCCGTTGCGACCAGCAAACAAATTGCGCTTTCTGCTTTCCCCCAACTGGGGATTTTGAACAGACCTCAACTGACCGAGTCCCTAGGGCCCTACGTCTGATGCCTAAAAAGGAGTCTGGCCTTCGGAAGGCAGGGGGCGGATTTCCATCGAACATGTCAAACCCTTGCGTAACGAACAGTCCCAGCCATAAGCAGGTGCAGATATCCGCCCTCTGTATTTACATGATGTTGGGTAGAGCCCCTTACCAGGTTTTGATGGCAATTCAACTGGGGTGCTCCTTTCGGTTTTCGCCTCTGGACCATGGATGAGTTCCGTGGCAACGGCAGGGTAGTTGTTTGTTGGCCAACTTCCTGTAGATCTTCTTGCAGGTTTTTTATGGGAAGCCTCCCTAAACATTGCAAGTCAAGCAAGCATACTCAGCCACAAAACCGTGGCAAACTATATACGGTGAACATCGGGGGGTGTTTTTTCTGTTGCCTCAGTATGCTCGTATCGGTGTTTCCAAAATGAGATCTACTGCGTCTCGAAATACTTCCAGTGCCACCCCAGCATGTCTGTGATCTGATCTGCCACATTCCCAGCTTTCCCTTTTGAAGGAGGAGCCATGAACCCTTTGGGAGGGGGCTTTGACTTTGCCTGGCTAGCCAGGGGCTGCCATCGACTTGAGGAATGCGAATGCCGAGCCCTTGGTTGACGGCATGCTGGGCTGTGGGCCTTGCGTCATTTCGAAGGCTGCAGTAGGGCTTCAGGAATTTTGGCATCCACTCCGTGTTGTGCACCAGCTCTGCAGTGGCCATCGCTGACTCCATCTCATTCCTCTGCTGCATGTACTGGAGCGCACCACTGATGGATGAATCACCAAACATGTGGTCAAATGCCTCCTCGGTGTCCTCCAGCTCCATGAGACGGCATTGTTCGGTAAAGGCCTCATGCATCCTTCCTTGCATTCAGCAAGCGAGTGATGGTGTCCCTGGCGGATTCACGGTCCGGAGCGTCAGTCAATGCCAATGGCTGCTTGCTCTGCGGGACAACTCCATTTTTGAACTACCGCGTGCGGTAGAGTTGAACCGTTGGTGGACTGTGACCATTTTTGGGGAAGCCAGATGGGTAGGTTTCAAAATAGAAGGGGACCTGGTGACCTGCATGTGCATTACATGTCCCCTTCATTTCCCTTCATTTCTCTTCATTTCCCTTCATTTCCCTTCACTTCCATGCATGTCTCCCAAATTTCACCATCGCTCCCCATTCAGTCCCTTCATTCCTCATCATGACCCCTTTCACTTCCCTGTTCGTTTTAGGTTCCCCCACCACCCCAAAAGTCTGTGTGATCAAACACTGCCTTCCCAAAAACTTCTCCAAAAGGGGCAACGATTCCAGATGACCTGAAAACAGGGGTACCAGCAACAATCCTTTTTTGGTTTGGCGGTTTGGACGTTAGGGGGTACCTTCCCCATTTGGTTTCAAAAAGAACCGCCGGGGGTCAAGCCCCGAAACTACCTGATTGTTCACCTAAAAAACGGAAAGCTACAACGGAATCGCGCAACTACCCTCAAAAAAATAACAAAGAACGGAACAACCAACTAGGAGTTACCTGAAAAGAATGAAAGCCAAAGAGCCGCCCAACAGATCGGAAAAACTATCACCTCTCCAGTCGGCCTTCGATGAACTCCACGTCCTTGGCCTTGGGCTTGTGGGGGTCGCTATGGTCTAGAGAGAACTCCACCTGCGCTCGCACGCGAAGAGTTGGGCCGTGGCACCCGAGGCGGGAGGCGGGGACTTCCCGAAATGCCTTGTAAAGGAGGGGGAAGGAGAAGGAAACGCGTTGCTCAAAAAATGGGTGTGGCTCGTTAAAATACAATTGCTGCGGTTACTTACGCAGGTTTTAGTCTTTGGTTCCACTTAATAAGGTGCCATTCTGGTACATTTTTTGAGCCACAGCCAGATGAGAAAACAAATGAGGACACCTTAGCCCTGAAAGAGGGGAATTGTCTTGCTCTCATGCAGAAGAGGACTTCCCTTGGTCTCATACCAACTTCGATTCCCCAAAAATGACATCAAAAAGGGCAAACCCAAAAACAAATCCTCGTGCCAAAACCAAAAAGAACCAAGTCCAAGTCGACTTCCCTGGGTCCCGTCCCCGTCTTTCTCGGCCTTTTCCGGGTCCAAACCGACCAAAACGTCTCCGGCGAGCGGTCGCGAACGCGTCGAACACGCGTCGAACGCGTCGCGCCTCCACCCGGCGGGCGCTGACGCTGAGGAACTCGTTGGGCGCGGCGCCCAGGAAGCTTCTGGAGCGAACTGGAAGATCCACCGAAGAACGGTAACTGTTAACCTGTTTTGTGTTTTACATACAAGAAATAGTAGTGTTAACAGTTATTCATAGATTGTATTGTTTTGTACTTTATTTCATAGTATTGTATGTTTGTTTGAAAGAACAATACTATGTCATTTGTGTTTTACATAGAATGAAACAAATATGTCCATCAAAAGATACAAAAATAGAAACATTATCTACAGGAGCCAAAGGTGGAAGAACAAATTACGCATGTATGTCTCTCCTGTAGATTTGTTCTGGTCGGTGCTTCCAAAACAACAACTTTTCGAGGGTTGCTTCAAAGCCTCGCTCCAATTTCGACCTCCGAGTTTCCTTTGGCATGTTGAGGTCATGGACCTCCATTTTTCAGGCGATCGGTGCTATCGGCGACTGGAGAAGCATACTTGAGTGTTTGATTCGCCAAGTGAGTAAGTTGTTGGTAACCTAGGTCATAGGGGATGTAACTCACAAGTCCCCCTAGGTGGAACTGACCGTTATTCATGGGTTGGCTAGCCTTTTGCTAGCCTGGCTGAACATCCAAGTAGCATAAGTTAAGGATACTCCTCCGAAGACAACTTCTCAAGGAGCAATCCACTTACCATGGCAGTGGGTTATAGCTTTCTAAGTTGCCAAGCCTGAGCACCCGCAGCAATACCACCGACAAATCCCAGAGGAAGTCATGGGCAACCAGGTGATGCTAAGGTGTCTTGTGGTTCAAAACGTGGAAAGGGTACGGCAGACGTGTTTTTCGAGACCCACAGGGTTCCCCCAACAGGCGCCGGTCTCGATTGCGAAGCAGCCAGGGTTCCCCCGATGCGCAAGGCCCAAGTTGGCAGCTCAAGACCCCTGCAACCCGCCCTTCAGTGCCCAAAGATTGAGGCCTTAAGGGGTGGTTGCCCAAACAAAACCTTTCTGAGGCCTCGGGGATCTTTGGGAGTGACGCTTGAGATTCCACACGCTCTCCGCGAGCCTTGAAGGAGCCGCACGCGCGCATCTTTTCCGGAGTGAAAAGGGGCGCGCTCGGCGCACCGAGTGCGGACTTTGTACATTGTCAGCGAGTCTCTCGATTCTGGCAAGCTGGTTTGCATGAGGAGAGTAAACCTATGGGGATGTGGATGGATGTGCCGGGCCAGTTGGTTGTGTCTCAAATTAGGGAACCCCCCTAGATGGTGATTGTGCCTGGGGGTTTCCCTTTACATCTATGCACGGGCACACCACGTGTTGGAATCCAAGCATCTTTGTAGCTGTGGATGCACGAAATCCTGTACTAGTACCAGTTAATAAAAGGCTTGTCACGTTGACATGGTGTCATCCATCCCAGCCGCTAAGGGCCCTTTCTTCGTCGCTTGAAGCATAGCCTCTAGGTTCTGTCAAGGGCAGCCGGTTGTTTTTCACGGGGGTACCGCTGGGCAGGTGCTTGCAGGGAAACCAGCGGAAACGTGACTCGCCATGCCGGGTCATCCTTCCATCGCCTCCGAGCAACCCTTTGGGGGTACCTCTCGCAACTTCTAAACTAAGGCGGTTGCTCTTGACTAGACTCGGAAAGCTCTCAGCTCTGGATGAACAACTGAATCCAAGACATGCCTGTCAGAAACTCTTCACCTTCTGAAAAAGGTTGATGTCAAAGCTCTCAAATTTGGATGCATGTGTTCTTCATAGTATAGCAATCTACCATGTCTAGTACTATAACAGTCTACCGTTGTACAGGTTGTTTGCAAGAACTGCGCTATCATTGTGGTGAAAGAATGTGATTCAAAAACAAATAGAACTCGCATTATATGGTAGCTTTTGGAGGTAGCATATGGTATGGACAGTGGAAGCCCCGTTTCTGTGATACCAAAAGTGGGCCATTCCTGTCAGTACCTTATCAAAACCAGAGAAAGTGGACACCTGGAACCAAAGCGAAGTGGAACCCATGCCTCGCGTGAGCGGTGGATTCAAATCAGAACAAACAGCAGTGCGAGAACTTGCGGGGAGTCCGAATCAATCGTATTGAACTACCTGAGAAAAAAAACGGCCACAATGTTGAGGGGCGTCCTATAATTTGCGATTTGGGTACCAACCATGTTTTGAGACCCCCTATTTTAGGTCACAGCCAACTGGACCCCAGCTGAAACCTGCAAAGAGCTGAACCCGGCGTGCTGGGCCCTTGATCGCAGCCAGATGATCGAGAAGACTTCTCATGCCACTTGGCGGCCCGCGGCTGAGCAAAGACACGAAGCATGGCATCTGTGCTGTGGTCAAAGCTCCTTTTTTTGGATGCGAAACTTAGATTTAGCAGTGGGACGCTTTGGGGGACATCATTTAGGTGGGGATGGTTCTGACTCGTACAGAATCATAGACATATGGGCCATGGCCATGTATGGATCTAAACTCCCTCGTCATCCATGACTGTCCCTACCAACCCGAAGTCAAAGGGTGCTTGACCATGTCCAAACTCCTGTGGGCCATGGTCGGAGTTCCTTTGGAATCTGCTGCCAGTCAACCCCAGAAACGCAATCCTAGCAGCCCCAACTAAGCCGGGGCGACTTGTATCCACCTGAGCTTTTTCAGTGACATGGGAACCGGGATAGAATGGCTGAGCAGACAGTTCTCCCTATAACTCCCCGTTAAACATCACCTCACCCAGAGGACACTCACTTAAAACCAACCCTTTTCAGGCCATGGTTCAACCACCCAAGTCTTAGGCAGCCCGCGTCGCACCTAGGCTTCCAGAGTCGCAGCTACGCTTCCCTCTCCTTCGATCAGCCGCTGTGAAACTGGTGAAAACTGGTGACACCGCCAGAATTCCCGTGGCTTCCCCGTTTGGGCCCGTCCCCCCCTTTTTAGTGTTTGCAAGGGACAACACTTCCATGGTTTTAAAGGGATAATACAAGGAAAACCACCACTTTGTGGAGTCCCCTCTACGTCCCCCCTTTCTTATTGTTTTACAGGGACAACACGAGGAAAACCCCACCTTGTGGGGTCCCCTATGCAAAGGCATACCCATTTAAAGATCACACAACTCGGGAAACCAAAATGCCCGCACTGTCCATCTGAAAGGATCCAGAAATTGGGGCGGGGTTGGGGGGGAGTGAAAAAGGCAAGTGATGCTTTCAACACAACCTCCAAACGGTCAAATTATGCCAACTTGGGATTGATCCGGGGACCGTATTTATCATGGGTCGTTCCCCTCCAACAAGGAAACAAACTGATTATTTGGGGTGGTTCCTCTGACTGGTAGGGTCCTCGTTAACATCCGAAGTTAGCGCTATTCAAAAGGGCTCCCCCATGCTTGGAAGCGCCCAATGCTCACCATCTCTGTGCCTTTTTTTAGGCGACCCCCTCCAAAGAATAAATGTGTTTTTTGCGCTTCATCCCCCTTTTACAGCTGCAACAGAAACAAAAAGAGCCACCCCTCGGGTCCACCGCGCTGCTCGTGCTAACGCACTCAGCTGCTGTTGGGGGCGATGGGCGTCGAGGACGAGTTGCCCCCGACCGTGATGTGCGAGGCATCCTGGCGACGGCCGGGTCGTGGATCCTTTTTGGTGCGTGCCAAATTTGGAGCCGGGGGGGAATCCCTGGAATTGAACAAATCAACAGAATGACCCACACCTGTTGGTCTCCTATGGCCCAGTTTGGCCTTCCTTTCCAATTAAAACACCCCCGAGTACAGGGATCTTCGAAACGGCTGGAATCCCAGTGGGAAACTGCCAGAACAGAAGTTCGCTCATTCGACCGAATCGATGGTCAGGATACAACCCAAACATCCTTATGGATGGAAAGACCAGTGACAGCCTACTTTGGGATGCCCATGTTCCCTTCAACTTCGGATTCACTTTTGGACACTCAAGAAAGGAACCTTCACTTTGAGCGCCGCAGTCCCAGTGACGACCCAGTTTTAATCACAAGCTGGACTGTTCAAAATTGTAGGGAAGCCGAGGACCCCCTTGCGTAACCCAAGGTAAGGATTAAGGATACCTTGCCCACAAAAGTGAACAAAGGTACAAACAAGCATCGGCAGGGACGGAGAATGTCGGCCGACGGAGAATGTCGGAGCCCCAACCGCGGCGGGGCTGCCATGGCATCTCGGTGATACCTCAGCCAAAAAATCGGCGGGCGCTCAACGAAGAAAATGAGAGGCGGCTTTGAGGGTACCTTTTTTGTTTGGGGGGGGGGGGGGGGCAGTCCCAAAGGGAAGAAAAGCGGAAGGTTCCAAAAAAAACAAGGAGTGTGGCGTTTTAGGCATTGATGCCCTTTTTCTGGGTGGGTCTGGTCTGAAGGGAAACAAAAGGGAACCTATCCCATTTCTGCACCCTTCAAGGTTGGAAAGGCAAACCACCAGTGAGTTCTCCCTAGCTTGACATAGACCTATGTGGTTTTGTGCCCCTTCAATGGCAACCCATAAATGTGATCCCGGGGTTAAACAAAAAAACTTGAGAGGCGGGTGAGAGAAAGCCAGCCTAGCCAGCCCAACAACGACGTGTACCACTCAGGAGTTGCTAAGATATTAAGACTTGCAATCCTATATGAACGTCAAGTTACTCTGCTGGCCCGTTCAGAAGTTGACCCCGGATCTAAGTCGAAACTGGGTCTTCCACCAACGGCCACCGCCCCGATTTTGATCAACCAGGAGGTTATTGATCATTTCACTTTAGTTCCAACGTTTGGGCGCATTTTCTTTGTGCTGCCAGTGGAGAGAGCGGATTTGGGGCTCGCAAGTATGACCCTGGTGAATGACATGCAACGATACTCCTATTGTGGAAACCCCAAAGATGTGTTTTGCTTGCGTTCTTGTCCGAGAGTTGAGGTGTTGACTTAGAGAAAGAACAATGATCCGCCTCGCAACTGGTCCCTCTGACCGTTGCCTTTCGGCGGAAAACCAAGATAGAATTATACATTGTTTCTAAAAGATCCAAGAATCTATTTTTCAAAACAGGGGACTCGCAAATGGGCTTCGGTTTCCTTTTGGCTTCCCTTCAAGCCAATCCAAAAAGCCACACAACCCCCCCCCAAAAAAAAAAAAACATAGATTTGCTCGGATCCTTAGACTCGTTGACGACCATCCCCGAGTCGCCACTTCAGGGATGCCTGACGGATTAACCGCTAGCATTTTGACAGTGCCCTAATTCTGTGTTTTCTTGTATTTGAAGGGCAACCCAAAAGGACCGCTCATTTCAGTGCCCTAAGCTTGAGCCAAACCCATGTTGGTCTTCCTGAAACGCAAACCAAACAGCTTGGTACCGACTCAGAAGACGAGCCCGCGGCAAGTTCCCCCGGCCGAAGCCGAGCTTGGGGTCGTCGATGGGCGGCAGCCACCCGTAAGACTGGCGACACGGCGAGTGACGTGTTTCCGGAGAAAGACGCAGAGGTGCGGGTGCTACCCTGAGCCCATAGCCTATCTGGGCAAGTCTGGGCTTCCTGCCCGACTGCACCCAGATGCATTGGCTATCTTATTTTTGGGCGCCTGTCTGGCTGGATCGACGGGTCTACGCCAAAAATGCCCATTCGACCAAGATGGACACCCTGCAATTTGCCATCTGTCTTGGTGTGCTTGCAACATTTAGGAAGTCAGCCTTCGTCGCATCAAAAAGCTACGCAAGGATTTTGGTCATTTAGTTTCCTTTTCTTTGGTCCTGGATGGTTACTTCCTGAGTGGATTGGCCAACAAAAGCTCCCAAGCTTGTGTTTGCCACTAGAACAGACCTAAAAGTAACTAAAGTCCAGGTCAACTGTTGAACTCGGTTGAAGTGAGGAAAAAGGCTCCATGTTTGAGAACATCTTCCTTCTTGGCCATTTCTCGTACTCTGCAGGAACCCACTCCTATATACAGATCACAGGTGCCTGTTGCTTGGCAACTTGGAGCGAAAGAGATTTGGGTCGTTCGGAAGAGCCCAACCCCATTGATAAGACATACATGCCTATGGATGTGTATATATATATATATGTGTTGGGCAACCACGGGGTATGTACTTCCGATTAAAATAAACGGAGCTTTTGGGACATGGACCAAAACAGACAAACCAAAAGGTCAAACGCAAGTGAAACCACCCTGCGAGAAGCTGAGGTCCACAACCCGAATGAGTGGTTTTCATTTTGGTTTCCCCTTAAGGCGTCCTGACAAGGAGTGGCAAAGCTACTTTCTGGGGTAAATGTCCTGTCGACTTCCATGAGCGGGTTGGAAAGAGAGCACGACGCGGGTGCCAAATACAGAGTCTGGAACAGTTGAAGATAACCCATCACCTTTGGGTTTCGTTTCGCAACAAAATGCTTCCCTTGCTTCCCTTGCTTCCCTTTGCTTCCCTTGCTTCCCTTGCTTCCCTTGCCTCCCTTTCCCCCTTTTCTATTTGCACCTTTGCAAGCTTTGGGTTGAAGTACACCTCTCCCAAAAACCCTTTCCCCGAGACCAGCTGAGTCACAATCAAAACCCGAGATAAAAATGGTCTACCCAGAACCATGCAAAGACTTAAGAAGGCGGCCGCCTGGGCTTTATTGTGGCTCAGTTGCCTCTCACCCAAACCTTCAAATCGCCTGGGAGGTCCTCACCATCCACCGGGTCCGCAAGGGCACGGCGCAGCGCGCGCGCATCGCCTGGCGACCCCACAGACCGAAAGCGGAGGCGCCGGACGGTCCGAAGGCAGAAGTTCCGACCTCTGTTTTTGCCACAGGAAAAAAGAGACACCGGTTTTGCTTCGGGCAGTTCATTTTGAAGGGTAGCCGCGAGTTCAGGGAATGTATGAGCCTATCCATGATCCTTATAGGTCTGTCCCTTCTGTTGTTGGTCAAACAGTCGCAAAGCAGGGGGTTCACTTCACCAATATGGTTTCTTCCCATGGGTTGGGCAGTGTCTGACCCCTTGCGTCTGGCTTGGTTCAGTGGACTTGCAAAGACCAACATTTGAACTCCTGATCAGCGCTTGTGGGTCGAAAATGGTTCAACCTCAAAAGGGTGAACCAAGAGAATGCCTCAGCCAGTTTTCTACCCTTGATGCTTGGCCATCTCTTGCCAGGCACACCTGCCACTCTTTCGCTCGTTTCCCGCGTGCTATCCCCCAAGAGCCCGGATCGATCCGCCCTCCAGAACGCCACCTGCGAGCTCCGGGCCACTTCGGAGCCCATCGCAGCGACCCCGAAGCTTGACTGCGGATTAAGCAGAACCCCTGCTTGATTTTGATCGGGGGGTGAATCCCCCTTTTAGTGGTTGGATTCAGACCACTGTTGGGAGGGAACACCCCCCAAAAGAATATGGGAGAGGTTTATTAATCCGGGGGTCAACATTAAGCTTTCAGCTCTTGGGGGAAAGGCGCGTGACCCGCCTCTGTGTGGCGGATGTGGAAGGTCTCCTGACGCGGTCCGAACAAAACCAACCCCACCCCGAAGTGGGAACACTCAAAAAAATGACCCCTCTGGGGTTCCATGGGGAGTAAGGGGTTGTTTGGATGTGTGTTGCCAAGCTAGCAAGTGGTTGGCCAACCCACTAATAACAGGGTTAACTCCACTTTGGGGACGACTTGCGAGTTGGTTATGACCTAGGTTGCCAACAACTTCCTGACTTGGCGAATCGAACCCCCAAGTACCTGCAAAGCAAAATGTAGGAAGGGCAGACGAGGGATCATCCAGACTGAGCAGTGTCGATATGTCTTTTTGGTGGTACCCTTCGGTTTTTGTTTAAAGGGAAACCGAATTTGAAGCCACCTTCTTTTTGTTTTGGCAGGGGTGCCCGAAACAAAGGCACACCCATACCCATCCAAAACAACGTAAGCGGCCTGGACCCATGCCCTGGCCTCAAGATCGAATTCCGGGAGCTTCGTTGGACACCCCCCGGCCATGCGAAACAGGAGCGACCCTGACGAGTGAGCTGGTGATTTGCCCAGAAACATGGAGCAGACCAGACCATGTGTGCAAATAGTATTTGGGACCCCGAAACAAGTAAATTTGGGGGCAGCAAATAGGGATCCAAATAGATTCCCTCTTGCAATAGGTGTATTTGGGGGCCTGGTTCGGTTCTACCTTTCAAATAGGTGTTCCTTTTGATCTCCCTCTACACCAACCTGAAACAGGGGCACCGAGCTGCGACTCTCACGGCGTCAGGGCGCGACTCATGGCTTTCTCACGGCTCCTTCGGGTTCTTGGGGTCGAACACGGAGCTATCCTGGACGTGGGGCGATGTGGCGCGAGCTTGTGGGTTTCTTCTAAAGGCAAACCAGAAGGACAACACACGCTTCGGGGGGCTTCCCTACTTCTGCTCCAAACTCACTTGATGTCTACACATTTGGGGGGAGGGGTGACCCTTCTGGTTGGACATACAAGAAGGCCTTTTCTACACATTCTTCTCCCATCGGGGAACGGTGGGGCCATGAACTGTCTTTTTGCTCGCGAGCGAGGAATGCATTGTGAGTTGGATGACAGAAAAGAGGCGCCAAAGTCGGAAAACTCAAATGCGGCCTGCAAATCAAAGTCGATGGAACCACGTTGGGAGGTACAGGAGCTGGAATTTGAGGGACCCATGTACCCTACAAAAACAAGGACTCGTTTTGAGAGGGATCCCCGTTTGGCCCCTCTCTGCACTCCTTCAGTGGACTTGCAGGGAGCGTCGCGGAAGGGATTGCGTACACAAAGCCATGCTGCTGGGAGGATATACGCGTGAAGGGCCAACGTTGCCATGACACCGTCCCTTCAAGTGGACACTGATCTTCCAGCCTGCCACAGGTACTGTGCTACTGTAGTGGGAGTGTATGTCCAACGTGTGGGGAGTGGACTAATTCTTAGCTAAGGAGCTCCCTATCAAAAGTGTCGGGGCGCGGGGGGGGGGGGGGTGATCTGTAGTGGTTTTCAACCTGGAGGGCCCTTGTTCTCCTTTCTCTTTTTTTTAGAGGTCCGATTCCTTTGAGAACCATCCGAATCATGTGTTTTTGTTGATCTGGGGTTCACAGGTCGCGGTCTCGGGAGACGAGTGAAGCGATCAAGCTGCACCCCGCTCCTTGAGCTGGTCGTAAGTGAACTTGTGCTCCTAGCGGATGCCAAGACAAAGGTCGATTTCCGGCGCTCGCGGGCCATGGGCGTGGGTCTTTGCCATATCTCAGTTGACTTCCTGAGTGGATTGGCCAGAAGAAGTCTCAACTTGTGGATGACCACTAAAACGGTCTTCCCAAAAGTTTAAGAACTCCAGGAGTGAGTCTGGCCAGTCTCGTCACGCGGAACAACTTTCGCCAGGGTGCCTCAAACACCTTTAAGCTGAACTTCCGGGCTGGCGTCTGCACCAAAAAGTCGGCTCCAAAAGGTGCGGCAGGTGCAACTAGTTCGTGCCAAGCTTGGGCGTCCGAGTTTTTCGACATTGACGCGCACCCGCCTTCGACACAGGATGCCTCTCATCCTTGAAGTAACCAAAGTAGCCCTCAGCGCGCGCTTGGCCAGACCGAGGTCTGCAAGTCAGAAAAAATGCGGGGAAATCAAGGAACCCAAAAGGGCAAAAGGGCCAAAAGGTGCAGGCTGGCAATGGAAGCTCCCTTCAAAAGGAGACTGGTCCAGCCTCCTTTAGTTGGGATCGTTTCCCAAGTGATCCGGAATCTCTGACATGGGTTGCACCCCCCCAGATCGAAATGAAGCAGGGCTTCGTGAATCGACTGTGTTCCCATCCGACAAGCTCAAACTCAGGGCACCGAACTCTGCTCTTGGTGTCCCTTTCAATCCTCGGGGCCCCCAAACCGACACAGAACGGACCCCTTCGCGTTCGGTAACCCCCCCTTTCCCCTCTGTCCTCCAAGGAAACAATTGAATTTCCCTCACTCCCTCACCCTCCCTGAAGAGAACCATGGAGCACCCAAACCCTGAGCCAAAGCCGAAAAGCCACCCACCCTGAAAACCCCCCCCCCCCCAAAACAAAAAAATAAACGGGGGAAAAACCTTAAAAAGAATGGCCCTCCACCAAGAACCAACCCGAGCTCGCGGCGTTCTTGATCTTGTGCAGATTTGGCAGGGATGCGCAGCGCTTCGTGGCATCTGCGTAGGTGAACTTCAGCTCCGTGTGCACCTGGCAGAATCGACGCGTGGACTGAACCGAGGAGGCAGAAGCCAAAGCAAAGACGAGGAGCGCGCGTCGCAAGCGACAAAAGGAAACAGAAAAATGTGCCCTGCGAGCAAACCAAGAAGAGAAACAAGTCCTGACTTGTAAATATGTTTGCGATTCTTTTACTGTCCGCCCCTCTTTCCAAGAATCAACGCACTTTTTTGAAGGGCCAATCAACCTTGCGGAGTAAGGTCCGCATCCCCCTGAAAAGTCATCCGCATCCCCCTGGTGCAGGTTGATTTGCGCCCATGAAGCCCCCTGACAGCTGTGGCTGTTTCGTACTGGTGAGACCACCCCATCGCAACGCGCAGCTCCAGGTCCAAAGGGCTTGGTACGGAGCTGCCGTTCGAAAAAACTCTGGGGAACAAACGCACCCGAAACGGGTCATCATGGAGGCGGACTTGAGGGTCCTTTTTGAGAAGACCGTCTTCCAAAGGTCTCCTGTCCCCATGATTCTGGAAACTCGCTTGCCCCGAATCTGCGGAAAAAGACGAAAACAAGAGAAGCAGCCCGGAGCCTATCTGGGCAGAGACCCCATAGCTTTCAGCTGGGAGAAAAAAAACACGGAAACCAGCGGTTCCGGCGCCTTGGTCTTGAAGGCCTCACACCTGTGGGAGAAGCAAAAAGGCCAAGGGCCAAACCCTACGCAAATGAAATACTTTGGATGGACGAAATCCTGCACCACCTAAGCAACCCCTAAATGATTATGTCCCTGTGTAGATACCAACTAAAATGGTTTCCCATGGTTTCAAAGTGGTGCAGGAATTTGTCCATCCACAGTATGGGTTTGTATTTTTCAAGCTGGGACCCCCCAAAAAGGTTGGGGTCCTTTTGGTTTCCCTTTGAAACCACAAAAAGAGGCACCCAAAAACAAGACAGACCCATATTGAACCTGCAAAAAAGTATGTTGTGAGCAATATACATTTTGCGGGGCCCCCTTGTTTGGGCTCCAACGAAGGAATGTTGGGGCAACCCTTCTTTAGTTCCAACAGTGGAATGTCCTTGTGGGGAAACCTTGCTTGTTCCAACAGCGTCATCTTCTTCCCCGCGCCCCCAAAACCGTTGAAATTTGGCAAAAAGGAAGCCGAAGGAAATGTTTGACCAGTCTGCTTTTGGTCATCTTCCAGGAAACCGAAGGAAACCGAGGGAAACCGAAGAAAACCGAAGAAAACCAAAGGAAACCGAAGGAAACCGAAGGAAACCGAAGGAAACCAAAAATGAAAAGGAAACCGAAGGAAACCTTCCCAAAGGGCTTTTGATCCTTCAAAAGCTCGGAGCCGGGGTCCCGGGCTGGTCCTTGGTCATCGGGGCCGGAACATTGGCCTTCGGGATCCTCGATCCGCTGGTGGGATGGATGACTTGCTTGGGCTCGCCCCACAAGAGGAATCGGAACCCAAAAAAATGAGTTCGGGGGTCCTGTTGGTTTCCGCAAAATCACCAAGCCCGAAAAGGGTACACTCGAAAAAGACAACCCAGAAAACCCTTCAAAAACCCTGGACCAAAAACAAAGTTGTCCTGTAGAAGGATCCTTCACTTAAAGATGGCTGTCATGGCTTGTCATGAGGGGTGTGTGCCCATGGTGAAAGCAAAGCACAGGATTGTAACACGGATAAACCTCGTTGCAACCTATGTACTGACTAAGTAGGACAACCATCCAGTTGGGTCCCACTTCGCTTCAATGAGTGAGAACAAAACAGCTCCAGGCGAATCCGGAGAAAAAGCCGCAGCAAAAACAGTGCGGCAAGGGTGCGGTGCAAAGTTGGCGACGAAACAAGTCATTGCTTCTCTTGCTCTCACTAACGTAGCACCTGTGGAAGGCTACCTGGAAGATCAACTTTCCCTGAGAGACGTCTTGTGAAGTGCCATGGTGGGTGTGAGCGTAGTACACATCGTAGACACAAAAGCAATGCCAAGAGCCCAAAGTCTGGTACAGGTCGGCAGCCCCACTCAACTGGGACCTCAAGCCCTCTACATGATGTCCCTCTCCCACATGCCGTGAATAATGTACAGGCCCGGTACGCACCTAGTAGTTGCTTGGAGAGAAGCCACGAGGGCAAACTGCTTTCAAAGACAAGCCTGTCAAAAGGCAAGAAAACTAGGCCCGAGGACAACAACGAGAAATCAAACCCAAACCCGAACAGCACGCAATCGCGCAAAGGGTGTGGGAGCCCTGCCTCGACGAAAACAACACAGTTCACATGTTTGTTGGCTTGACAAGGCCTCGCTGACCAATGCTTCGAATGCGGCAAAGGAATTTTCAAAGTAGCTCTGAGATGCGGGATAATTACCTGCCAAGCTGCTTCATCGCTCCGATGGGCGGGAGGAAAAAAACCTAAGGCGCCGATCGGCCGTCCAAGAGCGGCTTGAGCCGAAATGCTCCTGGCAGGGAGGCTGGCGCTTGCCCTCCAACGATCATGGAAGTGGACAGGAAGCTTCCCCAAAAGGAAGGTAGCCCGCCAACACCCTCCTGTCAGCTTCCATGATTGGAGGGAACGTGGATTGGCCAAGAAGAGACCGAACATTTCTTGTCTGCTACAATGTTTTTCAAAGGAAAAGTCAGGGAGTCCAGCAAGGACCAATGTCTTCTTATACGATTCCACGTCTTCCAGGTACCCCCTCCTACTGTTGTTTGTTTTTTGTGGGAGGGGGTCTATTATCCCAGCTTCACCGGTGCTTCTTCAAGCGCGTTCATGCGAGGGATCAACACCTCGCAGTTGAATTACGCGACGCGTGGTGGAGAACATGCTTCAACATGGCCATGGGTCAAAATCAAAATCGTACCCCCAGTGAACATCCCAATCCCCACTAAAATAGACTAAAATGGGTGGTGCACCTACCCCCCAAATTGCACCATTGGTCTTGACCCACAGCCACATGATTCCTTGCTGTTAGCCACTGGTACCCTGCCTGCGGCAAAATCATGGAAGCTGACCGAGGGCTTTTGGAAGACTGCCGTACTATGAGAGTTCCTGTTTTTCAGGCGTGATCACCACGAAGGTCACTGCGTTGCTTCCAGTCACCACCACCACCCCCCCCCCCTCTTACCTTTGACTCACCTCAACGTCTAACCCCAACCCCTTTGCCGCCACCACCACCACAACTCACTATTCCATTTCCTTCCTAGAACCACCACCCACCACGTGTTTCGCTCGCTAGAACCTACCCCCCCATCTTTTCCCTCGCTAAAACCACCACCCCCACGCCCAACATGATCCACCACCACACCACCCCCCCACAACCACTACCCACGCAACCATCACCCCCCCTCCATTTCCACTTCCGTCACCACTTTTCGGCCTGAAAAGTTTACTGTGGACCACCCGAAACGACAGGACCGTCCACTGATACCTGTCTTTTCAGACCCTTCTCTAAAGGGCGGGGGCGGGGAGGATACCTGATACATTTGCTGCACAAGTCTTGAACGCTCCCGGAAAACGATCCCCCCCCCAAGCAAAAGGAGCGATGCGTACAACTATAACGGGCGGGGGCGGGGAGGATACCTGTTACATTTGCTGCAGGGGTTGAGATGCACTCCTGATTGAATCGTCACTTCTTCGAACATCATTCGGTGGGGCAGCACCCCCCGCCCCTCCCCACCCCCCCAGCTGCTTTTTTAGATTTGTTGCAGGGATTGA